GTGGGGGTGGGGATGGAGGTGGCAGTGGTAGAGGGACAAGGGAGGAGGAGTGGGAGAGGGAACTGGGATTGACATGTGAAGCAAGCTATTTAAAATTAAAGTAATAACAAAAAGAAGTTCCCATCAGGAGCTGGGGAGACAGTTCATCAATTAAGAGACCTCACTGCTTCTCCAGAGGGCAAGAGTTGGGTTCCCAGCACCTGACCTGACAGTTTACAGTCTCCTGGAACTTTAGCGATTAAATGCCCTCTTCTGTCCTCTGAAAAGTATGCTTACACAACACACACACACACACACACTAAGTGTGGTAACACACACCCTTAATTCCAGCACTCAAGAGGCAGGGGCAGGCAGATCTCTGATGAGAGCCAGTTACAGGACTGACAGAGTTAGCCTTTTCTACATAGCAAGTTCCAGGACACCCAGGGCTACAAAGAGAAATACTGTACCCCCCCACAAAAAATAGACATTAATTTCTAAAAGAGAAGCTCTCATCAATCTCCAGCCAATTATGAAATGTCTGTTGGGAAAACTTCATCTCAAAAGGATTTAAATTTCAGTATTATGATCAGTATAGATTTTTTTCACCAAACAGCCTATGTGAAGGGACCACAGTCATCTGCGTGTACATAGAAAATCTACACCCTTCACAACCAATCTCATTTCTTGGGTCTTCATCTAAGATGAAGGAGAGCCTAGGGCCTAGAAGAAAGCCAGCCAAACGATGCTAGAATTGAACATGGCAACTGTTTGTTTAACTTCTTGTTGAAAATTCTCACTAAAAAGAACACACATCTTGTTATTGAACCTGCGTTCCCATCACTGCTCAGAAAGAACAAGATTGGGTTTTGTTTTTGTTTTTGTTTTTGTTCTTTTTTTTTTTTTTTTTTTTGGTTTTTCGAGACAGAGTTTCTCTGTGGCTTTGGAGGCTTTCCTGGAACTCGCTTGGTAGTCCAGGCTGGTCTCGAACTCACAGAGATCCGCCTGCCTCTGCCTCCCGAGTGCTGGGATTAAAGGCATGCGCCACCAACGCCCGGCGTTCATTTTGTTTTTTAAGGTAGGTTTTCTCTGTGTAGCATTGGAGCCTCTCCTGGGAACTCACTCAGTAAAACAGGCTGGCCTCGAACTCACAGAGATCCACCTGCCTCTGCCTTCCATGTGTTGGGATTAAAGGTGTGTGCTGCAGCCTCCATCACCACCACCACCACCACCACCCAGCTGGGATTGGATTTTTTTAAAGGTATTTATACCTTGACATATCCCTCAAATCTAACCCTTTCTTTGAACCCTCCACATCAACCTCACTGGTACCCTCATTTCATCACCTAAAATAGTGAATACATTGAGTCAACAAACAAATAAATGAATGAGACCCGGGTTGGGAGGAAAGAGAAGTCAATAAGGTTGTGCCCAGTAAATTATTCCCATTGCCAGAGTAGAAGGATCCCTGCTCTAGAAGAGCTCAGAATTAATTTCTCCCCACAGCATAGAAAGAGTTTTCTTGTTTGTTTGTTTTTAAAGATTTATTTATTTATTACGAACACAACACCCTGCCCCCATGTATGTCTACACATCAGAAGAGGGCACCAGATCTCATTACAGATGGTTGTGAGCCACCATGTGGTTGCTCGGAATTGAACTCAGGACCTTTGGAAGAGCAGTCAGTGCTCTTAACCTCTGAGCCATCTCTCCAGCATCCTTCTTGTTTGTTTTGAGACAGGCACTGCCTCACTATGCAGTCCAGGGTAGCATCAACTCCCTCCCCTCGCCCCCCCCCCCCCCCGTCTGAGCCTCCGGAGACCACATCGCGCTTCAGGTGAGTTTCAAAGGGCAAAGAAAGTGTGGGTTACCGCTGCTTTGCTTCGCCCCTCTCCCTGCCGGGCTGGCTCCGCCCCCACCAATGAGTTGAAAAGAGGCCCGTCCCCCTGCCCACTCCTCCAGACTACAGTGGTCCAGTCATCAGGCATCAGGGTGTCTGTCGTCCATCAGTGAGAACCAATGTCACAAGTCCTGCCTGTCTGCCTGCCAGCCAATTGGAGGGAGGCAGGAGGAGCACAGCGTGCATGCACCGTGTGTGTGTGTGTGTGTGTGTGTGTGTGTGTGTGTGTGTTGGGCGTGGGATGGGGCTGAGTTGACTCCAGGTATTATAAAGAGGGTTGAAAGGTCTAGACATGACTGGCATTCCCCGGTACCAAGTCCCTGAGTTTGTATTTCTCCAGTTCCCTCTTTTCCCTCTCGCTGGGCCTAAGTTCCCGAGGTCTCAGTTTCTGACCTGATGCTAACTAATTAGCTGCAGGAAAGGGGTGGCCCTAAGGCTCCTTGACTGAGTACCCTCGGGATCTACTGGGTCTTTCCCTGGTCAGGGGGAGGGGGGTGGTGAGGGTGGGGAGCTAGACAAGGAAGGACGCCAGGATAGGTAGACACGGAAAGACAAGCCCTGGTTCAGCAGTGCGGACGCCCTTCCCGAAACCCCTCGGGCTCCGGCCTGCGGCAGCGCTGCTGAGGCTATCCTTTCAGGAAGTTGGTGCGGCCTGCCAGCCAGGCGAGCTGTCTTGGCGTCTCCACTACTTAGCTGCAGGAATGGAGGCGGGGGGGCAGAGAATCAATAGCCAGAAGACTGGGCCTGCAGGCTTGGAGTCCTGGACACTATGGGAGTTCAGCACAACCCTCTCTGTGCAAGCCACTCCGGGCTGCTTAGCCAAACCTACCCTGTGGGATCAGGGTACCCTTTAGCATAACGGGTGAAGGGACTCTTTCTCGTCACCCTTACCCCGTGACCGTGTTCGGGTTTGGGTTCTTTTAAAGACCCATCCGTAGCGCAGGGCGGTCTCAAATTCACTAAGTAGTAGAAGACGACCTTGAACTGGTGCTTCCACAGCCTCCACCTCTCAAGTGTGTCTGACCGCGTCTGCGGTCCAAGTGTGAGCAGGAGTCGATATTCTAGGAGAGTGAGGAAGTTACTGTCCCCCACAGAATGACTTTGTGGAAGCTGCCGCACACATGGAAGTTTCAGGGTCTCTATGTCCCCCTTAATAAAACGTAGACAGACCCAAATTCGTGTGGGTCAAAGAATTGCCAGCTTGCGAGAAGTTTCCAGCTCCTCCTTGACGCTTCCGGTCCCCAATCTTACTCAACTGAAATTGCAGGGCCACACCGGGTTGCCAGGGAGCAGTAACCTCCAGGCCTTGCGGTCACTTAGGGACCATGGACAGCGCCAAGTGGCAGAATGTTTGAGTTTCTGAAGAACTTCTTTCCTGTCTCCACACCGGCCTCTGAACTCCACAATTTAACTGCACCATCTTCCCTCTCTCTCCTTTCAGAGTTGCCTTTTTGCATGCACAGTGACTCGGGAAAGGGTTGCATACACAGTCACTCTGGAGAGTCAGCGTTTATAATGAAAAGATTTATATTCCTGTACTGTGGCCGAGTTCCCTAAGTAAAGATGGAGCCATAGCCAGTATAAATATCCGGTCTGCTTTTTTGGGTTTGTTTTAAGAAAGTGTCTCATGCAACCTTGGCTGATCTCGAATTCTTTACGTAGTAAAAGATGACCTTAAGCTGGGCGTTGGTGGTGCACGCTTTTAATCCCAGCACTTGGGAGTCAGAGGCAGGCGAATTTCTGTGACCTCGAAATCGGCCTGGTCTACAGAGTGAGTGCCCGGACAGGCTCTAAAACTACACAGAGAAACCCTGTCTCAAAAAACCAAAGGGGGGGGAGGGGAGAGATGACCTTGAACTTGTGATTCTCCTGCCTCCGCCTGCAAAGAGCTGTGATTACAGGCGTGTCCTACATACCCGGCCTGGAAGTGACAACCACAGGGACAGGTTTTTATTAAGATCCAAAGCTCACTACTATCTTTATTATAGCAGCTGAATTAAAGCCCTGAATTGAGAGGGGAGTAGCGCCTGCTGGTTGCTAGGGCAACGCACTGGCGCTGGTGTCAGAGATCAGCACACCACGAGGAGGTTCCATCCCACTCCAGGGGAGGAGTTAATCCAGGCCTTAGACCCTGAGGCGTGCCAGTCCTTCCCTCCAGGTGGCGCTGTAGGACCACGGATGTTGTGCGGGGGCGGAGCTTCCTGCTGCGCTTTGCTCCTGTGAGGGGCGGGGGCTGGGGCGGGGCATGGGAGCCAGCGAAGACGACGACTCCCCTTGCGCTGCCGTAGAAAAGTTGGTGACGTGGAGATGCGGAAAGCATACGGGTCAGAGAAAGACCGGGAGAAAGTGCAGAGACTGGGACTAGGATAAGCAAGAGGGTCAGGATGCTCAGGAAGTTTGTTCATTTCCATCCTTGAGGTTTGTCCCTGTGAATCTCCTCTGTGGCCTCTCTGGAGCCCCGATCCTTTGCAGCCTCAGAGGTATACAGATGCTCTGGATACACGCGCAGTGGGCAGAAGTCAGTGCCTCCTCCTCGCCCCCAGGATCCAGACAGAACCAGTAACTTTATAGGGCTCTAGTGCCCAGGACATATGCCAAGACAGAATTCCGCGGTCTCAGGCACGCCAAGAAAAATAACCAAACTGTTCCTCACTTTGTCAAAGTAAGTCTGACTCTGGCTTCCTTTCTGGAAGCTGGTAATGGAAAAAATGACTCAAGGAATCCCTAGTGGAGCCTTCCTGTGTGTACTGCACACACAAAACGGGGGTACCATCTTCACCCCGCTTTCCTGGAAGACTATTATATTATTCCTGTCACTAATACCGCACCACACCGTCCTGTCCAGTCTCTCAACCACACATGGAACCCCAAGCTATCAGCGTTGTACCCCTCCCTGTCCTAAATACTTCCCTTTCCCTCGACCCACCCCGACGACCCCATTCACAGGTATAGCTCACCCGGGAGCACGGAAAACCCGCAAAGAAACACTGTGGAAACCCTCTTCTGAGCACACACGCACACTCGCACATGCACACGCACACACACGCGCGCGCACGCACATGCACACACACACACTACACGCACGCACGCACATACACACACAAAGCCAAGGAAGGAGATCTTTGGCAAGAAATGAAAGTTTATTAAGGCTTGGGGCTGAGAAAGACCGAGGTCGGAGGGAAGGAATCTTTGCTTGTTCCCATGGCCCCACGAGCAGGCCAGGGTGCTGAGCAGGGTTAACAGAGCTGGGACCAAACTTTTGCTTCTCAGAATCCCTGGCAGGAGACCTCAGGGATCAGTTCTGGGAGAGGCCTGAGGAGGCAGAGAGATCTCTCCTGCCCCTTGAGGTCTCGGGGATTTTGCAGAGACTGGGAAAAGGTTCTCTGGAGAAGGAGTCTCTACTCCAAGGTCTTCATTTCAGTAATGACCACTTAATTTGTTCCTTGGCTGACTGAAGAACCTGGGGGAAGGGTAGGATGGTGGGAGAAATAGTTGAGGAGAATGTCAATCAATGATGGTTTTAGTGGAGGTCCCTGAGACCTGAGGGCGCCTCTCCAGGCTCGATCACTAGGTGGCGGCAGCCTGCCTCTACTTAGTTTAAACGAGACCAGGCGAGCCCAGCGAGCCGCAGGCAAACCTCTGCTCGCTGCTGCCCAGGCCTGCCCACGTGCGGGTGTGGCAGCGCCCCCTGAATTCCCCGATCAATGCCAGAAGTTCCTCCTTACAGTGCCATCCCTAGGCAGGGGCTGGGCTCAGCCTCAACCCTGCCGGTGCTCAGGTACTCGGCACTTAACAAACCCCTGATTCTGGCCTTTATTGGGTTGTGTTCCCAGAACCCCATCTTGTGCTGATGGGGCAACAGCTGTGGATGTGTGGGTGCCTACAGCCAAGAAAAAAACACCTCAGTCCAGCGTATGCCCATATCCGTACCAAGATCACTTCGAGGCATGAACTCCCTCTCTCTCCCCCACACGTGCAGCCCATACTACCCATGTCCCTTCCTCCTGCACCCCCCTCCTTCCCGGGGACAGTGAACTCCCCCATCTCTCCTAGGGAACCCTTTCTCCACATCTCATTTTATGGTCACTACTATAAGCTTCATTTTTATTTAAGACTTTCACTAACACATGGGTGTGATGCCTGTAATTTCAGCTCCTGGGAGTATGAGGCAGGAGGATGACAAGTTCAAGGCCAGCCTGGGCTACATAGCAAGACCTTACCAGTCTTCATTCTTTGTTCATTTAGAAAATTAGGAATAATGTTTCCTGAGAATGTATGACTTAATGTTCTAGGCTCTTTCCGTCCATGAACTGGTTCATCTAGTTCTTTATTTATTTATTTTTCTTCACACAGGGTTTCTTTGTACAACAGTCCTGGTTGTCCTGGAACTCACTGTGTAGACCAGGATGGCCTTGAATTTAGAGATCCACCTGCCTCTGCTTCCACAGTGAGTAAAGGCATGGATCACCATGCCAGGTCTTGTTCTTTGATCCAAATCTGAAACACTGGAATTACAAGCATGCACCAGCACAAATGAACTATGCAGTGCGGGAAATCACCTGAGGCTTTGCACATGTTGAGCAAGCACTCTATATCACCAGTCCCAACTTATGCTATTCTTCTTTAATTTTTAAAATTTGTATGTGTGTTGCCAGGAGGTGGTGGTGGTACACACCTTTAATTCCAGCATTCAGGAGGCAGAGGCAGGTGGATTTCTGTGAATTCAAGACAAGCCTGGTCTGAAACCCTGTCTTCAAAAAAAATTGTATGTGTGTGTGTGTGTGTTTTGCCTATATATGTTCTGTGTACCATATGTGTGCCCGGGGGCCTGCAGAGGCCAGAAGACAGCACCAGCCTCCCCAGAACTAGAGTTGTAAATGGCTGGGCCACCATGTTTATGCCTGGAATTGAACCCGGGTCCTCTGTAAGAGCAGCAAGTGCTCTTAACCACTGAGCCATCTCTTTAGCTCTCCCCAACTTGTGTTCTATCCGCTCTGTTCATCAACACCCCACCTTTTACAATGCTTAATGTTTCTTTCACTTATTTACTTCAGTGTGTTTATGTGGAGGCCAGCGAACACCTTGTGGTGAGTCCGTTCTCTATCTTAGCAATCAAACTCTGCTCATCAGGCTTCTAGGAAAGTGCCTTTACTTGCCAAGACATCTCAATGGACTACTTATTTATTTTCGTATTTTTAAGACAGGGTCTCGTGTGGATCACTCTGGCCTCAACCTTGACAAGGCTTTGAACCCCTGATCATCCTGCCTCCACCTCCTAAGTGCTGGAATGATAGGTGTGTGCCACCACACCCAGCCTGGTTTATTTTACTTTATTGTTAGATAAAGTCTCATGTTATATCTCTGGCTAGCCTGGAACTCACCGTGTATGTAGCTCAGGCTGGCCTTGAATTTGAGATCCTCAGGCCCCAAGTGCTGAGACTAGGCCAGGCTCTTCCAACCTCCTTCCACCCCGAAAGCCACCATGCAAGCACACTCTTTCCCAGCAGAGCATGGGGAACCAGAGGGCAGATGGGGCGATGACAGTAGTGCGGATAATGGGTGTCACTCTTGGCGCTCCACACTGATGGCACAGCCCATCTCTGCAGGGCTGCCACGCCACATTAGGACCAGTTTACGTCAGACAATGAAGCCCCTTGGACACAGTAAGTCTGAGCAAATGGACAGATGGACAGACTAGCAGGAAGTCTGTGAGACTGGTGACCCAGTCTGTGAAGAGTAACCAGGACACACACACACACACACACACACACACACACATACACACACACACACAATGCCATCACATTATGCATGCAACCCAGATAGGGTTGTGCAAGGTGTGTGGTCGGCTCCTTTTCAACAGTCCAGCTACTAAGGGCAGAAGTGACGAGTGTGGAAAGTCAGAATCTACCGCTGAGTAATAAAGCCCTTAACAATGCCAGCATGGCCCCTGAGTGGTGAGGGTTAGAGCTGCAGACAAACTCCCCCATGGCATCCTGTCCAGGTTGAAGGAAATATGAGGGATCTGGGCCTCCACATTGCTTTGGGTAACAAGTAACCCAGGCATCATCAGGGTAGCTAGCTGAGGGTAGGAGATGAGGTGAGCAGGCGGTAATTTGTCCACTCATCCCTTTTACAAAGTCCTCAGGATACAGAGGCAGAGCTCTGTGAGTTGGAGGCCAGCCTGGTCTATAGAGCTAGTTGACACACACACACACACACACTCTCTCTCTCTGTCTGTCTCTCTGTCTGTCTCTCTCTCTCACACACACACACACTCTCTCTCTTTCTCTCTCACACACATACTCACTCTCTCACACACACACTCTCTCACACACACTCTCTCACACACATGCACACACACTCTCACACACTCTCTCACACTCTCACACACACTCTCTCACACACACATGCACGCACACACTCTCTCTCTCTCACACACACACACACACACACAGACACACGCTCACCAGCTCTCATCCCTTCTATCCCACACCTCTGGTTTCTTAACTCTGTCTCCCCTGGAGCCCTGGGCTCTCTGTGTCCTCTGGCCTGTTTCTGGACAAGGCAGATGCTTGGGGCTTACCTGGGCCACACTCTGTTCTGTTAGGCCAGTGTCATCAGTCTGTGGGGAAGGAGAATCACAGTCAGGAAAGAGTTGTTGCTAAGTCAGAGAGGTGACAGCTTGCAGGGTGAGGGGTGCAGTAGTTAGCATGACCCAGAATGGCACCCCTCGGGCGTTGGTGGCGCACGCCTTTAATCCCAGCACTCCGGAGGCAGAGGCAGGCGGATCTTGTGAGTTCGAGGCCAGCCTGGTCTACAGAGCGAGTTCCAGGACAGCCTCCAAAACAATACAGAGAAACCCTGTCTCGAAAAAACAAAACAAAACAAAAAAAAAAAAAAAAAACCAGAATGGCACCCCTGCCTCTGCTTAGCAGACAGAGGCCCAGCAGTCTGTCATCTGGAAGCCAAGACCTTTGGTAACTCATCTTCCATTGCTGGGGATTATACCTAGAGTCTCGAGTGGCCATGCCGGCACATGCCTTTAATCCCAGCACTGGGGAGGCAGAGGCAGGTAGATCTCTAAGTTCAAGGCCAGCCTGGTCTACAAAGAGGCTCCCTGGACAGGCTCCAAAGCTACACAGACAAACCCTATCTCGAAAAACCAAACCAACCAACCAACAAATAAATAAATTGAAACAGAAAAAAAAAAACCTAGTGTCTCACACATGCTAGCCAAGTGTTCTACCACTGAGCTGCCCCCTTAGTGAAACTGAGGGAGGCTGGAAAAGGAACAAAAGTTGGGGAAAGGTATCACCCATGCTGCAGGCATGGAAAAGCCAAACCAGAGCAGAAGGGTCCATCACAGTCCCCTAGGCTGCCTCCTGCGGTCGTTTTGACCATGCAGTTAGTTATTGCTCCATCCAAGCTTCTCACTGGAGGATGGGGAGGAGCTGTTTGTTTTATTTCATTTTTTATGGGGAATGAACTGGAAGCTTTCCTTTTAGCAACAGACACCTCCCCCCAAGCTGCCACCAGTAACTGCCTGTCAATGTGAAGCCTGAGTGACAGGACTCCCACCATCTGAGCCCTGACAGCCTGGTGCCCAGGAAGGACAAGGCGAGGGAAAGGCAGCCTGGAAAAGATAGGGGTGGGGTACAGAAAGGCTTACCCTAAAATTCACTTTCTGGATCACTTGCTGGGGGTCACTCTCCAGAATCACACTACAAGATGAGAGAAAATTTTGGCCTGGCTTGGTGATGTGAGCTCCCTCCAACAAGCCACTTTCTGATTTTTAAGATATCCTGTAGTGTCCCTCCTTCGGGGAACCTTCCCACAAGTGGTCCTGGTGTCACACCTACCAGTCCCTCTCCATGGGGGACTCTCGTCTTTGCTCCCTCTGCGCTTTATAGCACAGTCCACCTTCATGATCCCCTCTGGGTGAATACTCAACTAGGGGCTTTGTGACACAGCACAGCAGTTAAAGGTGCAGCCTGCCACCAAACCTGACAGCCCGAGCTCCATCCCCAGAGCCCACATGTAGAAGGAGAGAAGTGAGGTGAGCAGCTGGCCTCTGACCCCCACCCAGACTCAATGCTGTGCCACACACAGAGATCAAAGATTAATAATAATAATAACAATAATAAATGAAAAAACAAAAAAACAACTGAAATCAGGACAGCCCTGTCGAACAGAGGAGACGCTGTGAGGAGGGGCTAGGTCTTCTCACATTTAGAATCCAGCCATCGGTACAACACCAGGCAATAGCAGGCAGTTAATAGAACAGGAGAGCAGGGCGTTGGTGGCGCATGCCTTTAATCCCAGCACTTGGGAGGCAGAGGCAGGCGGATCTCTGTGAGTTCGAGACCAGCCTGGTCTACAGAGTGAGTTCCAGGACAGGCTCCAAAACAATACAGAGAAACCCTGTCTCGAAAAAAACAAAAAACAAACAAACAAACAAAAAGAACAGGAGAGCTGGTGGTGGTGGTGCAACACCCTTAATCCCAGCACTCGGGAGGCAGAGGCAGGTGAATCTTTGTGAGTTTGAGGCCAGCCTGAATTACAGAGCTAGTTCCAGGACAGCCTAGGCTACACAGAGAAACCCTGTCTCAGGAAAAACAAAACAAAAACCAGAAGGAGCGGTGAGGCATTCGCAGCACCCCACCTCCCGGAGGCCCCTGCTCTCAGGTTGGATGGTGCAATCCATGGGAAGAGCACAGCCTCTCCTGCACATGGTTTTAGATCTTGGCCCTGCCAAGGTGTGTGACCTCGGATGAGTTACTAGAATCTCTGAGCCTGTTTCCTCCTCTGTAAAATGGGCAGATGTTTCAAAGTGGCTGTAATCCCAGCACCTCCGTCTCTGAGACAAGAGAGCAAGGGGAGGGAAGCTTCTGCTATCATTTGTCCCAGAGTCAGAACTTTGTTCTTCCCTGATTATTGTCCCCTCTTCAAGGAATTCTACTAACCAACTTTTCTCATAAAGGCTCCCAACCATCCAGGAGTCTGCTGGCATACTAATGAGAGGCAATATTTACTAATGAAAAAGATTAAAAAAAAATCCCCAAATTGTCAATGAGAACTATGGGCTTTATACACATAATTTTGTATGACTCTTGCCATCCTGTGTGATAGCGTCCTTTTATCCCCGTTTTAGTGACAGGAAAAGAGGACTCAAGGAGAGTCAGTATCACGTGTATCCAGCTGGCATCGGAGGGGATGCTCTGGCTGAGGTCCTCAGAAAAGGACAGGTGTCTCTATTCCTCCTTAGCACTGAAGATCAACCTGGATTTCCCCAAACTAGATCTATATAGTTGCCTTCTGTAGGTGGCTGTCAGGCTACCTTTCCGTTTGGCTTGCTAAGCTAGAAATGATAAAGGAATAAGGTTGGGGGCCTAGTAGGAATTCGTGGGAGAAGGGAGGACGAGTTGGCCAGAGAGGTGACCACTATGACAAGGTCATTCTGAGCACCCTCAAAGTCTCTCCTCTCTATCCCCTCCTCACCCGCCATCTACAATCTCATCCAGCACCAAGAAGGCTCCATCCATGTTCTCCAGCAACCAGCGTTTCTCCACGTTCTTCCTGTGGGCAGACACAAGAGCCTGAGCCTCCGGGTGGCTGAGAGGAACCATGACTCCTCTAAGTGAGGCAGCCAGCGCCTCTCTTCCCAATACCCCTTCCCAACAAGGCCTGGGCAGGAGAGTGCAAGGCAGTGGGGAGCAGAGCCAATGCCAGGGGCTAATGAGCACAGAGCAGGCTAGGGTCATCCTAGGTTGGTTTGCCCAGTTTGTCAACCTTCCTAATGCTGCCACCCTTATATACAGTTCCTCATGTTGTGGTAACTCCCAAACATTTTTGTTGTTACTTGTTAACTGCAGTTTTGCTACTGTTATGAATCATAATGTAAACATCTGATATGCAGGATACATGCGACCCCTGTGAATGACCCTTTCACAGGTCCATGTTCCTGGTGTAGGTATCAATACTGATTGGGGATGCAGGGAAAACCAACTCTGAGTTTAAAGTTAAAAACACTGTTTACAGCGGGGCACACACCTGTAATTCCAGCACTCCGGGGACCAAGGAAAGAGGACTGAGTGGGAAGCCAGTGTAGGCTGGGTAATAAGACCTTCCTCTCCCTCTCTCCCTGCTCTCCCTTAGTTTGGAATTTGTGTGGATTTGCATACTGTGACCTCTAGCAACTCTGTGTCTTGAGATTTGATATCTGACCACGGGCATGGCTCTACTTGTGGCTGCATGGAAGTCAGGGGCCTTGCAGAGATCCCAGGAGGACTGCAGGGCGGAAGAGCCTTGCCTCTGGGACAAAGGGAAAGGCCTGGGGCAGTGGCCCTGGAGTGCAGAAGGTCTCACTTACCTTAAGATGTGGCTGAGAGAGTCGAACAGGCAGGCAAGAACAGACATGAGCATCAGCTGAGGAGGAGGTGGGGGAGGAGGAAGAGAAGAGAGCTGAAGCTGGAAGCTGAGAGACCCACAGCAGGCCTCTGAGCTCCTGTGTGGACCAGGTGGGAGCACTCCCTCCTCAGAGAGGGCTTGGCTGGAGGCTAGCAGCACTTCCCAAGGTTTGGCCTGGGGGACACTGCAGTGCTCCCCTGGAGGACACACTGGGTGTCTCCTCTAGATATGCTTAGGAAGAACTAACAACTCCCTACAGAAGGTGTGATGATTACATTTCTAGTTCCCAAGGCACCTAAGGGCCATTATGGGTGTGCACAGTTGCAGAGAGACCTAGTCTGGCTGCCCTCTCCCCCAAAGGAAGGATAGCAACAGTGAACACCCCGAACCCACCTCCACCCCAGGACAGACTCTCCTTGTCACCCAACCTCCTAAATTTACCTCGTTCTCCGAGGAGGAGCCCACCACATACAGGAGGAGGTCAATGCTGCTCTTGTAGACAATGGTCATGCCCCCTAAAAATGCGATCTCACCTAGAAACAGGAGGGCTTTCAAATCAGCATAACTCCACCCCAGCCTGGGGCTAGCCTGGTCTCCCCATGCCTCTTTGTTTCCTACTTCCTTTCCCAAGGAACTCTAGTCAGACCATGACTACTGGGAGGCAAACTGTGTCCTTAGGCCCATCCCAAGTGCTATGTGTTGAGAGGGCCCCCTCTTGAGGGGTCAACAGACTCAGCCTACAGCTGACCTCCTTGGACCCTCCATCCCATGCAATGCCCTGGGACCAGATCCAAGTGTGTGTAGGGGGCACACAGCACAGTTGGCCTCCGCAACAGAGAGGAGGGGCAGGGTTGAGAGTGATGGGGAGTGAAGGTTCCGGGGTGAATGAAAAAGGGGGGGAAGGCAGCTGCGGAGGAGCAGACAAAGGGCCTCAGAGGAGGAGGGATGGCCTGTGGGCGTGCAAGGCCAGCAAGGACAGATGTGCCCAGATGGGGAAGATGACAGCCAGCCAGCAGTGGTCAGTCATCTGAGAGGCGCAGGGGAGGAAGGGCAGGCGTTACTTTCAGCTCGGCTGGTCTTGTTGAAGACATTTTTCTCGAAAACCATCTGCTCCTTCATGGAGGGAAACGTGTCGTCATAATACTGTGAGAAGGAGAAGGAGAAGGTATTGCCCGGAGCCAGCTCCAGCCTTGGGAGGGGGCTAGCAGGGACTGTGAGGCTGTGCCTCCTGGTCACCTCCCTCCAGGCCCTGCCTGCTGCCAGGTCCCCATCAACAAATTCCAAGCAAAGACAATCGAAGTACGGAGATATCGGGGCTGCCTTTGGGGTCCTCATCTGGTTTTCTTCCTCTCTCCCTTTCCTCCTTCTCTTTCTCTCCCTCCTTCCTCTTTTTTTTTTTTTTTTAAGATTTATTTATTATGCATGCCTGCAGGCCAGAAAAGGGCACCAGATCTCATTACATATGTCTGTGAGCCACCAAGTGATTGGTGGGAATTGAACTCGGGACCTCTGGAAGAACAGTCAGTGCTCTTTACCTCTGAGCCATCTCTCCAGCCCCCTCCATCCTTCTTTTTCTTCCTTTCTCCTGTGTTTCCTTCCTTCCAGCAGCGCTGGATTGCAAACCAGCGCTTCACACATGGCTAGCTAAGTATTCTACCACTGAGCTGAGTCCCAGCTAGTGTTCTCTCTCCCAATCCTTCCTCCCTCCTTCCCTTCCTTCTCTCCTTTTCTCCAGGTCTGGGGATGGAACCCAGGGTATTATGCATGATAGGCAAGTAAGTGCTTTGCCGCTAACCTACATTCTTAAGCCTCTGTCTCAATTATTTTATTTTATTTTTGAAATAGGGTCTAACTGTGCCACCTAGCTGGCCTGCTATATGTAGACCAGGCTAGCCCAATTTCTTTCTTTCTTTTTAAATGTTTAGGTTTTTTTGGTGTGTTTTTTGTTTTTGAGAGTTTTGTTTTGTTTTGTTGTTTTTTGAGACCTTTCCTCTGTGTAGTCCTGGCTCTCCTGGAACTGGCTCTGTAGACCAGACTGGCTTTGAACTCACTCTGCCTCCTGAGTGTTGGTTTAGAGGCATGTGCTACCGCTGCCCAGATCATCCTCAATTTTTTTTGCTTTTTGTTTTTCCAGACAGGCTCTCTCTCTCTCTCTCTCTCTCTCTCTCTCTCTCTCTCTCTCTCTCTCTCTCTCTCTCTCTCTCTCTCTCTCTTTTGAGGCAGGGTTTCTCTGTGGCTTTGGAGGCTGTCCTGGAACTAGCTCTTGTAGACCAGGCTGGCCTCGAACTCACAGAGATCCACCTGCCTCTGCCTCCCGAGTGCTGGGATTAAAGGCGTGCGCCACCAACGCTGGGCCAGGGTTTCTCTTTGTAGTCTTGGTTATCCTGGAGCTTACTCTGTTGACCAGGCTGGCCTTGAACTCAAGGGATCTGCCTGCCTCTGCCTCCTGAGTGCTAGAATTAAAGGTGTAGGCTTCCACCACCCGGAAGTCCTCAATTTCTTAGCATATAACAAGGATAGGCTGGGCAGTGGTGGTGCATGCCTTTAGTTCCACCACTCAGGAGGCAGAGGTAGGTGGATCTCTGTGAGTTCAAGGCCAGCCTGGTCTATAAGAGCTAGTTCCAGGACAGCCTCCAAAGCCTGTCCTGAAACTAGAACAGAGAAACCCTGTCTCAAAAAACCAAACCAAAAAAAAAAAAAAAAGAAGAAGAAGAATGAAAAGAAAAGAAAAATCAAGCAACCAACCAAACCAAGGATAAGACCTTCTAGGAGGCTCCAGAGGCTTGGTAATACTGATTCACCCTGCCCATCTGCTAAAGCACAGTGTGGCCACTCAATTTTCTTTCTTTTTTTTTTAAATTGTTCTCTTTTATTTTTTTAAGATTTATGTATCTATTACATATACAGTGTTCTGTCTACATGACAGAAGAGGGCACCAGATTGAATTGTAGATGGTTGTGAGCCACCATGTGGTTGCTGGGAATTGAACTCAGGACCTCTGGAAGACCAGCCAGTGCTCTTAACCTCTGAGCCACCTCTCCAGCCCCTGCCACTCAATTTTCTAAATGTGAATTTTCGGTAGTTAATTCTGCCATTAAGTTAGCAGATTCTCTGGTGGGTCCTACCATGGTGAACAAACTCATTTGAATGTTATGAAGACTAAGTTTCAACTCCAAAAAAATGAAAACATAATTCACATCTAATTTAGATGCTGTAGCAGGTGTGGTGATATAGGCCTGGAATCCCAACACTTGGGAGGAAGAATCAGGAAGAACAAGATTTCCGGGCCAGCCTTCACTACATGAGACCCTGTCTCAAAAGAAAAGAAAAAGAGGTATGGTTCACACAAATAGTCTCAGCATTTGAGAGGCTGAGGCGGGATCATAGTGACTTGCAGGCTAGCCTGGGCTACACAGTAAGTTCCAAACTATCCTTGGTTATAGACTGAGTCCCTGTTTCAAAAAGCAAAACAAACAAACAAAAAGTATCTAGGGGGCTAGTTGTGGTGGTGCCCTTTAACCCCAGCAAATCTCTGAGTTTGAGGCTAGCTTGGTCCATGGAGTGAGTTCTAGGACAGTTAGAGCTACACAGAGAAACCCTGTCTTAAAAAGCAGACAAACAAAAAAGTTAGGGTGTGGTGTTATATGCTTGCCTATGATCTCAGTCCTTAAGATGTAGAGGCAGGAGAAGCAAGACAAGTTTAAACCCAACCTGGTCCACAACAAAACAAAAAAGTATTATATTTCTACTACAGTTAATTGTATCAGTGGCAGGAATATTATTTAGTGATTAATTGATTGTGATTGTTTTGGTTTTTTTGTTGTTGTTTTTTTCCCAAGACAGGGTTTCCTTGTGTAGCTTTGGAGGCTGTCCTGGAACTTGCTCTCTAGACCAGTCTGACCTTGAACTCACAGAGATCTGCCTGTCACTGCCTCCTGAGTGCTGAGATTAAAGAAGATATATGCAACACTGCCTGGCCTTCAGTGGCAGGAGTTTTAGGGTTTTTTCCCTTTTCTTAAACACTTTAGTGTGTGTGTGTGTGTGTGTGTGTGTGTGTGTGTGTTTGTGTGTGTGTGTGTTTGTGTGTGTGTGTTTGTGTGTGTGTGTTTGTGTGTTTGTGTGTGTGTGTGTGTGTGTGTGTGTGTGTGTGTGTTGGGGACAAGTGTGGAAATCAAAGGACAACCTGAGGGAATTTGTTCCTCCATAGTGAATTCAGGATCCAACTCAAGCTGTCAGGCTGGTGGCAAGCACCCTTACCTGGGACTTAGCTTCAAATTTAGTGTTAGCTCATCTCAGCCAGGCCATGTAAAATGGATGCCAGACAACTCAAAGAGAGTTCCATGAAAACCACCGGAATCCCCAAATCTAAGTCCTGAGTCTGGGTGTCATGGCACTAACCCTGTGACCTCAGGCAGCCTGCTTAGCTTCTCTGCACTTCATTTTCTCCATCTGTGAAGTTAGAGAGTAGGACAATACGGCCTCCCAAATCCCACCTAATCCTAAATACTCATGCTAACAAACTCTTTGTATTTACCACGCTAGAATACAGAAGCACTCGGGTCCCTTGTCTACAGTTTAGGGATTTGGACTCCTAGGTCCCAGCTCGGATCTCCCCTGATCCCTTTGATGGCGTTTCCCTTCCCAAGCCCGGTTAGGTCAAGGACAACGACAAGACATGTTAGAGGACATGAGCAGAAACAGAGGGAATGGCCCCCTTTCTCTGCCCGCCATCAGATTGATAAAGCATAGCAAGGACAGAGTGACTTCTAGAGAATCCAGGCTGGGCTGCTCTGCCATAAATGGGCTGGGTGGGGACCGTTTGTCTTGGACATGTGGCACTGTCTTCGGGGTTTCTGTGGTGAGGGGTTACCTTAGCCAGCAGCCTTCGCCCATCATTATCTAGGATGAAGACAGCCTTGATGGTGTAGAGAGAAGGTTCCTGAAACTGACACAGGAAAGAAACCCCTGACTCAAAGTGGACCCATATCGTGGGCTCTATGGAGTCAGCTAGCCCCCAATCCAGAGCTGGTTCCAGCCCATCCCTGTGCCACATGGACTATTTCCGGTGCCCACTCTACTCCCAAGCAGATGTTCCACGGCAGGTCCGAGGCGTGGGCTCTGTGCCCGCTGGGTGCAGAAAGTCCTACCGGGCCCAAGTTCTGTCATGCACTGACTGCTCCAGAGCCAGAGTCGGAGTGTATCACAGAACCTGGACCAGGGGAACAGCGGCGCCGAGCCTCCTTGTGTCCAGCCGACCCCAAGCTCCAGAAGCGCGGCCATCACCCTGGAGCAAGGGAGCCCAACCAGACCACCGCGCCACTCCCACTCCTCCCTCGTCCGTCCCGCTAGAATCTCACCCTTAATCCCGCCACCGCAGTCAGTCCCTATCACTGCCGTGAGTTCCCCAGAACTTCAGCCCCACGACACTCCACTCGGGCCAGGCCTCCTCGGCCGTGCGCTTCAGGACGAACTTTTTTCTCCCCTCTTTGGGCCCGGGCTCCCTCTCCGGGGCTAGGTAGTGGTGGCACAAAGTTCCCAGCCCTGGAGCCCGAGGCAAGTCGGCTGCCCCCCCACCCCAATCCTGCTGCCCCGGGACCCAGCACTCCATGATCCGTACCCTCGGTTCCGTGGCTCGGGTGGGCGGCGTTGCGCCCCTGGCTTGGGCGGCCGAGGCCCCCTCCCCCGGGTGAGGACGTGGCCAGGCCTCCGGCCGCTGCATTCCGCTCGCTACTTGCACTGACAGCGCCGCCCCGCCCTGCGCCCGTCCCCCGCGGCGCCGCCCCTCCGCCCAGTCCTGCGGGGCTGGCCTCTGTCTGCGTCCCCTCTCTCTGAGCGAGCTTTCCGCCTGACCCCCACTCCACAGAACCGCCTCTCCCCACCTGGCTTCTTTCTCATTCTTCTCCCGGGGCCCCTCTCTGCGCCTCCAAGTTTCTCAGTTAATCCAAAGCCCCTCCTGCCTCTTACTCCCTCTTCTGGCCCGGGGGTCTGTGACTTTGGTTCATAGAGGTGTCCACGTGGCTGTCCAGGGCCAGGCTGGATCATAGGTGAGGCTCACTTTTTTCTCAGGACCCCCAGGTGTCATTGGGACAAATATTTTAAGTCACCTTTTTGGATCCCAGGACAAAGCCTATCAGAAAGACCAGGTGGCGACCTCTTCCATGGAGAAGAGTTCTCTCGTACTCACTGGGGAAAAAAACATGGGCTGAGGGACACTTCCCCAAAGACATTTTTCAAGACGCAGAGAAGGAAAAGGCAGGTAGTTCAAGCCTGTAATCCAACCTGAGCCTGCAGACTCCTGGCCAGAGTGCAATCATACACGATGGAGTAGTTAATGGTGCCTGGCCAACCATTCAGAACACTGATGGTGTGCCTTTTACTCTGAACACTCTCATTGTCTGTGGGAAGGAGGCATTTTCAGACAAACTTCGTGTGACTTTTTCAAGTTGGTTGGGCTAATAGGTAATTGAGTGGGAGAGTCCTAGGCTTTGAACAGGAGTAGTTCCCCCCATTTTGTCCTTGAGGGCCACAGGGTGGAGTGTCACAATCACTCACCTCAGATGGTCCACCAGAGGCTTCCTTCCGCTGAAAGCATCAAGCCTTTCCCTTCCCAACTTTGCCTCTTTTATTTTTAAAAGTTACACTATCTATCTATCTAATTTACTTATTTATTCATGGGAGTGTGCCACAGCACTCAAGTGGAGGCCAGAGGACAACTTATAGGAGTCAGTTCTCTCCTACTTTCTGGGTCTTGGGGAATGGATTTGGTTTGTTAGCCTTTACCCGCTGAGCCATCTTATTGGCCTGAAAGCTTCTTCTTAAATATCCTCATCAAGGGGGCTGGAGAAATGGCTCAATCATTAAAAATTATTTGTTGCTCCTGTACAAGACCCAACTTCAGTTCCCACTCCCACATCATGTGGCTGGCAAGCACCTGTAACTCAGGTTCAGGGGATCTGGCACCCTCTTCTGGCTTCCACAGGCATTACACACATGTGGAGTACATACAGACAAGGAGGCACACACACAAAAACAAACAAATAAATAAATTTTCCTGGGTGTGGTGATACCAGTCTTTAATCCCAGGATTTGGGAGGTAGAAGCAGGTGCCTCTCTATAAGTATGAAGCCATCCTGATCTATATAGCAAGTTCTGGGCCAGCTAAGACTGCATAGTCTATGGTGGCACATTTAGCTTTGACTGTCTTGGAACTCACTCTGTAGACCAGGCTGGCCTCAAATTTACAGAGATCCGCCTGCCTCTGCCTCCCAAGTGCAGAGACTAAAGGCATGCACCACTACCGACAGGTAGGTTCAAATTCAACCTCTGAAGAATTTTTTTTTTTTTTTTTGGTTTTACGAGACAGGGTTTCTCTGTATTGTTTTGGAGGCTGTCGGTCCAGCCCGGCCTCGAACTCACAGAGATCCGCCTGCCTCTGCCTCCCAAGTGCTGGGATTAAAGGCGTGCGCCACCACTGCCCGGCCACCTCTGAAGAATTATATGTTGGGTTTGTAGAAAGGGCTCAGTGGTTAAGAGCACTAGGTGTTCTTCCAGAGGATCAGGGTTCAGTTCCCAGCACCCACATGGCAGCTCACAACTGTCTGTAACTCCAGTTCCAGGGCATCCAATGCCTTTGTTTGTCTTCTGTGAGAAGTGCAAGTGTGGAGCCCAAGCTTTGTGCAAGCAAAAAACCCCTACAGACAAACAAATTAATTTTTAAAAATGAGATATTTGGGGTTGGGGATTTAGCTCAGTGGTAGAGTATTGTCTAGCAAGAGCAAGGCCCTGGGTTCCTCAGCTCTGAGAAGAAGAAACATAAGATGTTCATCAATGACAGCCCCTCCCAAGCCCTCAACAGAACCCTTGGATTCTCCCAAATAATGGTTACTATGAGTGATGACACGGAGAAACCACCAAACTAGACTGCTTGGTGGGCAGAAAGAAAGAGTTGTTGGGGAACAAATTGCCGAGGCCATCTCTTGGGTGGCAGAGGAAAGGGACAGAGAGAAAAGCAAAATGACAGAAGAGCAAGATTTTATTTGATAGTTGCCAGGGTGGGGATCTGGTAATAGAAGCTGATCAGGAACTAGGTATCCTTGCCAGAGGTGTTTGACCTTCGGAGGAAGGTTAAGGGAAGTTCCCAGTGGACATAAACAGCCTTTAAGCGCCCTACTTTTCTAGTGAACAGGAACCTTTAGGCTTGTTTGCCCAATAACAGTCCTTCTGTTCACTGGGTCAGAGTCCTTCTGTTTAGGACAATGTCACCAACACTGCCATTTTAGGGAAGAGGGACATTGGACCTGACAGTTACACCTTTCGTGAGCTTCCAAGTGCATATACAGACCCTCAAATGGAGATGGGGTTGGGCAGTGTCATCCACACAGTATCACCCTAAGAGGACTTTGCAGCTCACAGCCAGCTGTGGAAAAGCGCACAGGCGCAACAACAAACAGTTAGTTCGTAGCCTGCCCAGAGGGAAGAAGCCCTGGCTGGGTTTAAAACCACTCAGTAGGCAGTGGTGACATGTCTTTAATCCCAGCACTTGGGAGGCAGAGACAGGCAGATATCTGTGAGTTCGAGGTCAGCCTGGTCTACAGAGTGAGTTCCAGGACAGCCAGGACTACACAGTTAAATCCTGTCCCCCCCAAAAAAAAAGAGAAAAGAAAAGAAAGAAGGAAAGAAAAGAAGAATTACCTGCTTCTCTTGCAGAGCACCTGAGTTTAATGCCCAGCACCTAAGTCAGGCAGTTTACAACCTCCCATAACTTCAGCTGCAGGACCCCTTCCAGCCCCCACCAGCCCACTAGCACTGCATACACATGGCATTCACACACAGACAGACATCGACACATGGATAAAAATCAAAATAAGTCCTTAAAGACAAACCCAACGTATTTCTTTGGGGTTCTTCCCTCTGCTTCCTCCAGGATTGTGTGATTGTGATATTGGGGGGTCTGTGCCTCTCTAATTCAGGGTCTGTGCCTCGGCTTCACGTCTTCTGTTCTTTTTCTTGTGGAGCCCCAGGAGACTGGGTTTCCAGTGGAGCTCTCCTGTGGGCCTTGGTATTTCTTGGACAGGAGATCATTGCTTTTCCTCTGACTCACCCTCCTGCTGCTGCCATGCCTGTGCTGTCTGTCCGTCCTGGGCTTCCAGCATCTGTTCCTGTGTGACAGGAGGAAACAGCTCTCCCGGGCATCAGCCCCCGTCCTTCCTGCTAGAATGTCAAGAGGGGGAGGTGTGTGTGTTCCAGAATATGAGACATGGATGGGCTGCCCTGGACAGAAAACACAAGTGTCCCTGCTCTGTCTGCAGGATGGGCTTCATGAAGCAGGCCATTCTGGGGACAGCTCTCCCTTCTGCAGAGCCCTTGGTTTCACTGAGACAAAGCTGCTGAGTGCGTGGAGAGGTGGAGAGAGAGAGCTGGCCATGAAAGGAAGCCTGGTGGGACGGTACAAGTCTACATTCCCAGCACTTGGGAGACAGAGGCAGGAATAGCACGAGTTGAAGTCACCTCGATCACCTAGGAAATTTGAGACCAGCCTCATCTACATGAGACCTTGTATAAAATGAGTAAATAAATCTTTTTTTTAAAAGATTTTATTTATTATGTATACAATGTTCTGTCTGCAGGTGTGCCTACTTGTCAGAAGAGGGCACCATACCTCAGTATAGATGGCTGTGAGCCACCATGTGGTTGCTGGGAATTGAACTCAGGACCCCTGGAAGAACAGTCAATGCTCTGAGCCATCGCTCCAGCCTGAGTAAATAACTTACATTCAACTTACCCCATTCATTGAATGGCTGTGTACACACATTCTGATTTTTTTCTTTTTTTGAGACAGTGTTTTGCTATGTAGCTTTGGCTGGCCTGGAACTCACTACACAGTTCTGTCTAACCTTGAACTCATAGCAATTCTCCTACATCAACTTCCCCAGTGCAGTGGCTACAGGTGGACACCCCCATGCCTGGCTGTATTCTGAGTTTTAAGATTTATGACTATGAGCCAGGTGTTGGTGGCGCACGCCTTCAATCCCAGCACTTGGGAGGCAGAGACAGGTGGATCTCTGTGAGTTCAAGGCCAGCCTAGTCTACTGAGCAAATTCCAGGACAGTCTCCAAAACAATACAAAGAAACCCTGTCTTAAAAAAAAAAGATTTGTGACTATGTATATTGTTGCCCTCACTTAACTAAGGCTAGTCTAATTAGTGAGTGACAAAGTTGGGATTTTAAACCTACTAAATCCAAAACACCCACTCTCTCCATTTCACAATGCACCTGCCTGATTGTGACATGTCACACTGAGACCTACACAAAGATTATTACCCAATTCTGTTTGGGGCAATTCTGGGAGACCCATGGGATGGTTGAACCCAGCTTCAAAAAATTTATACAGAGACATGAATGAAAAATGAGATGTTTTCTTGTAGAGGTCAGGAAGAATGTGTCCTGAAATCGGCTGATGATTCTAGTCTGGCCCTTAGCACTGCTGCTGTTTCCATCCCGCCAGGATTCTTGCTCCAAGCTAGGGAGTAATTTTCTACTCTGTCCACACTTAACAGTCATGCTGATTGTCAGTTCTGCAGGGGATGGGGAGTGGATCAGATCAGGCTGGGGTGGGACTGGGTCACTGTTCGTTTTCATAAGTCCCCTAGGTGGTTCTCTAGTGCAGCCAAGATTGAGAAGCATTATGGTAATGGATACCGGGAGGAGCTGGCAGCAAGCAGAGGTATGCCTCTTCTGATGGGTTTATGGGAACACACTTTCCAAGAATGA